AGAGAGAGAGAGAGAGAGAGAGAGAGAGAGAGAGAGAGAGAGAAGTCTTCATTCATTTTCTTTTTTAAAATTTTTTCTTTTGGCACCAGGAATCAAACTCAGGACCTTGTACTTGCCAGGCAGGCGCTTGTGCCACTGAGCTATATCCCTGGCCCTCATTCATTTTGAGCATATTGTAGGAGTGTAATTGTTGAGTTATAGAATGACTATTTATCTTTATTAGAAATTGCCAAATAGTTTTCAAGAATGACTGCATAGTCTTCAAATTTCAGCTTGGAGATTTATAGGGTTAGAAAGCATATTGTTTCCATCATTACAACCACCAAAAAAGCAGAATATGCAAATTAGTGACTTTTCTTGATTTTTTTAGGCAATTGAGATGCAGTTCAAACAACTAAACTGAAATCTTGGAAATCATAGACAATCAAAAAACAACACACACTTTCTTTAACTTAGGGCAGAAACCACTAGATGCCATATAAGCTGACAAACATAAAAACATAACTCAAAATATTTAATGAATTGTTAAGGACTAAGTGTAGACTAGCTAAGAACATGAAGTCCCCGAGGGCTGTACAAATAAAGTGGTTTGTACCTGTTTCTTCCTTTTCCTCCACGAACTCCAGCAGATGCTCTCCAGAAACACATATAGGGAAGGATTCTGAGGAAGTTTCCTTAGTGGTGCTATCACTTAGAGGAATGAAGAGCAACCGCAAAACCTAAAACTCCTCCCAGATTCGTTTCCTATATTTTTCCTACAGAAGAGAGGATGTAATTTTAGGGGCAAGAGTAATAAAAACTGTCACTTTATGGCACCTTAGAGCTGAGTAAGGGAAGAGAGGCCAAAAAATATAACCAGGAGCGAGGGGCAGGGATACATGTGGATCCAACAGTATACATAGTTGGAGAAGGGGCAAGGTCACTTGTGAAAGTCACAGAGTTTACAGTACCTAAGACTCAGGCTTAACAGAACATCAATGATCACTTCTGCTCTTTTCCTCACTACCCACTAACATGCACCGAATGAAAATTACTGCAGAATACTGCTGGAATTCTTCAAGAAGCAGATTATCTCTAGAGAAGAGTGAAGAGACAGTACATGAAGCCAATCAGAGAACAGAACTAAGGGCGCCCTAGCTGCCTCCCTAGAGTTAATGTGTCTCTACAGTAGTAATTTGGAGTCTGTGGTGCACTCAGAGTGAACATAGGACCAACAAACTTCAAACTGAGCCCAACTTCTGACTATTAGCTGGCATAGTAAAGGTTTAGCAAAAACAAAGGTGTCTGCAAGAAAAAAAAATTTACCTCAGCATCTACTGTCCTATACAGTATATCTGGCTTTCAAAAGTAATGGAGCACTTAAAAATTTTTATTTCTAAATTTTTTCTTTTTTATTAATTCATGTTTGTGGTACATAATTATTAAATTTATCCCAGGGAGTTTGTACATATATGTAACATGTATTAATTATTTTTGTCCCCTTCTCCTTCAGTCCTTCTTTACTCCCTCCAATTCTTGTTTCCCTTCCCATTTGCAAAAGCTGTACTTCCATTTTTAAAAAAATCCTTTTCCTCTTCCTTTCCTCCCCTCTTCCCTCCACATCCATAATCTCAGTACTGCGGGAGACAAAGGTGGGAGGACTGCAAATTCAAGGCCAGACTGGGCAATTTAGTGACTTAGTGAAAGCCTGTCTCAAAACAAAAAAGGCCACCCAGTGTGAAGGCTCTCAGTTCAACCCCCCAGCATCAAAGAATAAAAAAAAAAAAAGTAAATAAAAATACAACCTGAAGATACATCAGAACTTGACTTAAACATGAGAGATGTTTAAACTATCAGAGAAAGAATTTAAAGCAATAATAATTAATGGTCTAAACACTTTAAGCAGAGAGATAAAAATCATAAGAGGTTAAAAACAATAGAAATAAAAATAACATTAATAAAAAAGAAAAATACCTTTGAAAGACTCACTATTAAACCTGACAAAGCTGAAGAAACGATTGCTAAACATAAAGATAAGTCAATGAAAATTACCTACACCAGAGCATGGGAGGAAAAAAGTTTAAACAAATAAACCAGAGTATGCAAGAAATGTGACATAGCACCAAACTGCCTAATGTGTGAAAATTAGAATTCCAAGAGGAGAGAGATGAACAGAGAAAAAGAAATGTTTGAGGTAATGGCCAAAGACTTTGCAAAATTACAAGAGGTCCTGAACTAGAGAGCACACTAAATCTAAAAGGAAATTTTAAAATATTTTGGACAGAATCAAAATAAGAGGAAAAATATATCAAAAGTTACAGACTACAGCTGCAGCAGGACATAACGAAAAATTTAGAGCTTTCAATATTTATATTAGAAAAGCATGTGTCTAAAGCCAGTAACTTGTACGTCTACCTTAGAGAAATGAGTATATTAAACTCAATGCAATCAAGACATAAAAATTCTCTACCTTAGAGAAATGAGTATATTCAACTCAATGCAATCAAGACATAAGAATAATAAACACTAGAAAAGGAACCGATGAGATTGAAAAAATAGTGAAAAATCAATGAAAATAATCTGGTTTTTTAAAAGATCAATAAGATTAATAGACATTCAACCAGACTGATTAAGAACAAAAGGTAAAAGACAAATTATAAACATCAAGTATTAAAGTAGAGATGTCAATACTGACACAATCTTAAAAGGGTAATTATGAAATACTACAATAACTCTATGTTTCTAAACTCAACAACATAAAAAAAGTCACTCTATTAAAAGACAGTATAAAATACCCAATACTCAAGTGCAAGTCTCTGGGTTCAGTTCCCAGAACCAACCAACCAACAAACATAAAACTACCAGTAAAGAAAGGGCGAAAGGGAATTTTCTAATTTGATTTTAAAACATTGATAGAGACACTTTATATCAGAACCCAATGAGCAAACTGAGGAATAGAGATGAACTAATTTTTCCACTATCTACATAATAAGCAACAGATGTAGGATTTTAACCGACATCTATCTGGTTCAAGAGTCTATTGTTTTTACTATAACACCTTGCTTCCAAGATTGAAAAAAAGTAGAAATTTTATTTCACAATAACAGTTCAAAGAAATGCATGAGTAATTTAACAGAAAATTGTAAATTGTATCAATTTTCTCTTCAGAAATTTTAATGAGTGCTAAGATTAAATCTTAGAGTACTAAGGTTACCCAAATGAAAAAAAATACCTAAGTATATATGATTGGTTAAAGTTTTTATATCTTACACACACTGAAAAGGTAAAACTTCCTACTGAGAAAATGAGATCAATTTATTTAAAGGTATATTGATTTAAAATTTTATTCTGAAGAAATGATCATACATGTTCACAGATCTTATGTATGAGAATTTTAATTCCATTGTTCATAATGGCAAAAGGGATAAAAGCTATGTAAATATTCAATCAAAAAGCTATTAAATTTCTTTGTAGAAATTATAGAATGCAATGCAATTTTGGGGATTTGTGCTTCTGGTGTCTTAAGCTTATGAATATATATGAATATATGTATATATATGAAAACAGCCAGAAAATATTACGTGGAGTGCTAGTACCAATTCTATGCATGTGTGTATTATTTTTCATATCTTTCTGCATTATCTTAATTTTTCATTATCAGTTTCTTACTTAAAAAATAAGATATAAAAAAAGAATTTAAGATAACAGAGTATAGTGTCATAAGGAAGATACTGCATACCTTGTAAGATGCAAGGCTTAGTAGCTTTTGTAGTTTAGACCAAGTCTCTATTTATTCTTCCAAAACAGCAATCATAAATAATCCATGACAGGACTATAAATAACACTATTCAACTTAGCTCTGTAGGCTTACAAACCCACTTCTTAATATGTTCTCATTGAGATTTCTTTTTCTGTTTCATAACTACGTCAGCATTTGAAATGAGCAATCAGACATTTGTCACCGAATTCATCTTCTTGGGATTTTCAAATCACTCCAACTTGTGGAGCTTCTTCTTTCTTGTCTTCCTCGTTATTTACCTGACAACTCTTCTAGGGAATGTCCTCATAATAACGGCCACCAGGGTCAGTCCTGCTCTCCACACACCAATGTATTATTTCCTCAGCAGCTTGAGCTTCTTAGACATTTGCTACACATCTACCACCATTCCAGTCATGTTGGTGAACTTCTTCCGGGAGAAGAAGACCATTTCCTATGAGGGCTGCCTTTCCCAGATTTTCTTCCTTCTGACATGTGCTGGCACTGAGTGTGTCTTGTTGGCTTCCATGGCTTATGATCGCTATGTGGCCATTTGCCACCCTCTTCAATATCCAGTACTCATGAGTGTGAAGGTCTGTATTTGCCTGGTGACTGGGTCCTGGCTCTGTGGGCTGGTGAATTCTGTAACACACACAGTGCTGGCAGCCACACTCACTCTGTGTGGTCCCAACAAGATCAGCCACTTTCTCTGTGACATCCCATTGATCCTGAAGCTCTCCTGCTCAGACACGTCTGTCAATGAGTCTGTGCTCCATGTGGCCAGTGCCACCATTGGCCTGAGCCCCTGCCTGTTTACTGCTGGGTCCTACATATTCATCATCTCTGCCATCCTTAGGATCCCCTCTTCTCAAGGCAGGAGCAAGTGCTTCTCCACCTGTGCATCCCACCTGACAGTGGTGATAGTCTTCTTTGGAACAGCCAACTTCAACTATGCCAGGCCCAGTGAAGGCTACTCCTTGGACATGGACATTCTGGTCTCTGTTTTCTTCTGTGTAGTGACCCCCATGATGAATCCCATCATCTACAGCCTGAGAAATAAGGATGTCAAGGATGCCCTAAAGAAGCTGACCACAGGGTTTATATTCCCTAACAATATCAATCTCTAGAGCAGTAGCCTTCAAACTGGAGCATATATCTACCCGAGAAACTCTCCAAGAAGAATGTAATATAGATTGTGCATCTCTAAGTGGATCCTCATTTCCTACATTCTAGTTCCTGAAATTGATCTTCCCAAGAACTCTTCACTCCTTTTTCACATTGCCCTATTCCCACATTGTATGTGTCAGGTTTTATATTGGTTTTCAGCAGCATGTCTACCTTTCTACATTCCCCCATAGGGGGAGAAAGTGTGGCAATCTTATTTCCTAGACCTCCTTGCCTGTAGACTGCCATTTTAGATTTTGCCAATAAGAGTCATACATGAGATATTAGAAGAAACTTGAAATCATGGTGAATCTGTTTTTCAGTTAGGAAAGAAAAAAAGGGAAGGAAGTATCTTCTTCTGGATCTCATAGCAGCAGCAATAGCAGACTAGCACTGCAGTGAGAGAAATAGACTCCTGGAGTTACAGCAATTGATACATATGGTCTCATATAATAGTTATTCCTGATCCAAATGTAATGTCACAGAAGTATTAAATGGGTATAGTCCCAGAAAAATTACAAGCATCATACCACAGTAGTATATGTGTACCCATGTTTATGGCAGCACAATTTGTAATAGCTAAATCTTGGAAATAACCCAAATGCCCATCAACTGAGGAATGCATAAAAAAGATGTGGTGCTTTTATACAATGGAGTATTACTCAGCTATAATGAAAGATAAACTTGAGGCTTTTATAGATAAATGGATGTAACCAGAGACCATACTCATAAGTGAAATAAGTCAGACTCACATGTGTAAACAGTGTATTGTCTCCCTAGTGTAAGAAACTAAAAGAGTAAATAAGATCCAAAAAGCACCACTTTGTTTGTAACTCTGTATTGTCTGTACTATGCTTGTGATATGTTGTAAAATGTTGTATGTCTGTTAATGTTTCCCTCCTTTTATCTTTAAAATAAAAAAAAGGTATAGTAGATATTGTGAAAGGGAAAGAAACTGCTCAAAAGGAAAGAATAACTGGGATGGGGGAAAGAAGTAAAGAAGTAATATACATCATATATATGATATAATGTATATATATGAAGTATATATATCATATATAATTACTACTAATTTGTATTAGTTCATTGAAAGGAAAAGTTAGTGTTTATATTATTTGATCAGTCTTATACATCTATATCTGTTAATCTGAGCAACTACTTTGAAGATAATAATATGCAATAAAATAACCATTATTAATTTCCTATCATCTTGTTATGAAATTCTGTACCATTTTTACTGTTTTTTATTATCTTTAAAATAAAAAAGTGATTAGAAAACAACACTGGAAATGATGCTTTAACTGTTTGATCAATCTTACATTCTTACATCTGGTGGACTGAGCAACATTGTTGAAGATAATGGTACTTAATGTAGCAACCATTGTTAATTCCTATCATTTTGTTTTGAGGTCATGTGTTGTTTTTGTTGGTTTTGTGTTGTTTTGATTTTGTCTTCATTATTTTCTTTTTTTTAGTTTTTTAAATTTTAAAATAAAAAAATTTTAAGTTTAAAAAATAAAAAAATGAGTATTTATGGAGAGATGGGAGGTTTCAAGATAGAAAATAGCGTTAATCTCCTTTTTATCCTCTCTCCATCTTGTGACCTTCCCAAGAATTTTGTAATTTGTTTCTGGCATTGAATTCCTCTATGTTGACATAAATAGGGTTTTTTTTTTTCCTGCCATAAATGCTAACAACTACACCATTTCACATCAGGAATTGTTCTAGGAAACAGATCCTCAAAAGTGATATTGGATACCTGATCTAATGTGTTCAAATGTGTTAGGACGTCATACTCAGTGGAAAATAGGAATCTGATAGTTCATAGTGCACAGTTACAAAACAAATTGTTGTAATTATCAGTAGTCATTGAATAAAATAAAACATTCACTGACAATCAAGCTTAGAATACCTTAACATTTATGGCGGGAATAAACATTACTTCATAGTTAACATACAGCTATTATTGACTGCAGTTGAAAATTTATAGGAAGAAAGTGATAGTAAAGTATTGTATTCCTCACCCAAGTCAAGGTCAGATAATTAGAAAATATTTTATCTTTTGAAACTGATAAAGGTGAAATCAGAACAAAAAATCTGATTCTCTAAACTGCAAAGTTACAAAGTAATTTATAACTCCACAATTTCTCCAGGTCTTTTATGGTCAATTAGGGCATTAACTGGAGAATGAGTTAATGGAAAAATAGAATGGAAAAATGCCAGTGGATTTGGACAAATCTTAGAGCCTTAAATCCCCAAATTCCCATTAACCTTTCTTCCCATAAAAGCAGCCCCACCTCTCCTGTCTGAAGAGACCAGTTTTCCTCAAAGACTCTGTGATGACCTCACCTGAGGCAATGTTCTTGTAAGACTAATCCTCTTAAGATCCTCATCCACCATTCCTCATTACTGCCAGACTCTTAATTGGGGTGCAATAGCAGAATACCCCACAATAATAGTACAAAGAAGAGCCCACAAGGTTATAACATTTACACCAAAATAAAATTTCAAGATTTTACTAACTTTTATTGAAAGAAATCTTGAGAATATGTATAATCATGGACTCTTAGGTTGCTATATCAAAGATGACAATAAATATTGTTGAATCATCTCAAATATATTCTTATGGGTGCACTTTTCAGAAATGGTGGTTCAAAGTGTTATAATGAGAAGCTGAAAGTGTCTGTAACTGTTTTACTGTAATTGTTTTGTTTTTGTTTGTTGTTTTGGGTTGGTTGGCTGAAACCTAGATTCAATGGTGCCATAAATGCAATAAAGATGAGATGCCTTGAATGCCTCTGGGATAATATAAATGAGGAAACCAAAAGGTCTAGAGAAATAAGAATGTTAAAATATGTACATTTTATGTGATACTCTTACACTTACCCCCAAAATTAAGTACTCAAAGAGAAACCAGAAAACAATCCTTCTACAAAAGCCTCTTGTAAAATCTGTTGATAAAGGGAACATCAGAAGCCTTGTAATGTTTGCAGTAACTATCCTCTACAAACTAGAAATAACACTGATGATGTCATCACTGAAGTGAGCTCTGTGATTCCAGTCCATAATTAGATTCTGAAGTAGTAGAGGTCATTCGTTTGAGCAATACTCAGAATATTTAATCTACAGAAATCTTAGACAGTGATTAAATGATTATGGTGTCTGTAGACCTACAATAATAGGCCTCTTATTAAAATATTACCTGAATATATATATACATATGTGTGTGTGTGTGTGTGTGTGTGTGTGTGTGTGTATATATATATATATATATATGTCTTTTTAAATTTTTTTATTTTATCATGGTGCTAGGGATCAAATTCAGGGCCTGAAACATGCTAGGAAAGTTCTCTACCACTGAACTACATCCCTCAACTCCTGAAATATTCTTAAGTCTGATCACTAGAATCATGACTTAAATTGTTATAAGGGAGAGCCACCTTCATCCAGTTCTTAGACCTTCTGAATTCATCAACCCAATGAGGTTTGAAGACTCTGTGGCACATAGAATGCCATAAAAACCTTCTGAGTCCCCAGTATAAGAATCATACTAGCCAGGAATATAGCTCAGCAGAACAGTGGTCTGACTGGCAAGTGCAAGGTCCTGAGTTCGATTCCTGCTAACAAAAAAAAAGAGATAATATGCAAGAAGAGTTAACCCAGAGTAGCCCATCACAGGGCAAGTGCTCCAAAATTAGTTATAACCAATTCTCATTTCCCAGAAGGCTGCCACCATTGCAGTCTGTGTCTCTGCCCTCTGTGCACCGGGGACACACAGGAGACTGCCTCAATTGACCCACAAACATGCTAATGCTGGGGTTTGTGAGGGGCACCCCCATGTGTGCCCAGTGACACATGAAGCCCCAGAGCAGGTGGTCCATGAAACCACTGAAGCCTCAATTCCCATTTGGGTTCCAGGGTTCACATCTCAGCGGGAGTGTGGAAACAGGCAGTCTGTGATCACTGCCAGCACAGCCCAACTCTGGCTCCAGTACTTGTGGTGACAGGCCTGCAGATACAGAATCAAGCAGTCCATGAATTGCAAACCCTGCAGTCTGTGTCTGGGCTCTACCTTCGCCCTGAACTCCCTGGAGTCACAGGACCAAGTGCTCTGTGACCGTGCCACCAGTGCAGACCACTTCTGGTTCACACTGGTGCCCTGAGCTGATAGGGGACACTGGATCAGATTGTCTGTGACCTGACGACATCATGATTGGCATCTGAGACCTGAGAGAACTAGGTAAACTTCACCATCTGCTGGAAGAACCCAGACTAAGCAGCGCACCCCAGCAGCCACTGAAAGGCAAGTTTGACCACCAGGAAAATTAGGGAGTTAGTGACCTTTGCTGAGCTGACAAGGAAGAAAGAGACTGAGTGCTTTACCACCAACACCAAACGTGACAAGATGAAGGACTAAAATGCAATCTCAGTACTCCACCCCACTCAGAACAAGTCCAGGAGACATTGCCACAGGAGAACTTGGTAAACACACTCCTGAAATTGCTGAAATGATTGCCATGGAAGTGAAGAAACAACTTCATCAGGTCATAGAAGAGCTCAGATCAGAAATAATCTCTCAGGCAAAAATGAAATGACAATAATAATGAAAGGACTTCTCAGCACATCTAAAGAAGAAACATAAAAAAAAAGGATGAATGTAGGCAATGGACAGAAATGTTCAATAAAAAATATAGAAATGAATTAGAATGCATGAAACAGATTCAAAGACATATCCAGGAAATCAAAGCTTCCAGGAAATGAAAGCTGCCAAAACCACATGAATGAAGCCAAAGATAGAATTTCAGATTTTGAAGACAGCATGGCAGCTAGCAATCGTGAAAGAAAGGATCTCTTAAAATCAACAAGGAACCAGAAAACTCAATTCAACAGCTGCAAGACGAGACAAAGAGGAATAATGTACGACTAACAGGAGTCAATGAAACAGTAGGAGACAACACAAAAGACATAAAAAGAATATTTGCAGAAATAATAGCAGAAAATTTCCCAAGTATGGAAACAGAGCCTGATATACAGTTAATGAGGCATATAGAACTCCAACTAACCACAAC